AGTACAAGCACTTTACTTAGTCTACCTCAATACAAAAAGAAAGCGGCCCGATCCTCCTTCTCCTACAGAGCGCCGCAATTGTGGAACGACCTCCCGCACAATTTAAAATCTTCCCTAAGCCTAAAGTCATTTAAGAGATCCCTCTCTACATACCTCAAAACAGAATGCACGTGTTATGGTTGATTATATATTTCCTGCCTGTTCTATGTTAAATTTTGTATATATTGTGTATTAATATTGTTTTTGTATTTTGTTGTACCTAATGTAACAATGCAATGATTTGTGGACCCAGGACATACTTGAAAACGATTGAAATCTCAATGTATCTTTCCTGGTAAAATATTTTATAAATAAATAAATTTATGGCTGTACTGTTACCCATATGCATATTTTTACATGTAGACCTCTGGTAAATTGTACTAGATATCTGCCTGTGCTCCTAAATAAAGCATTTTTCTTTTTTTTCTTTTAAAGAGCTATATTATATATGAATGCACTTTATGAACTGGAAACTACAGTGGAGAAAACATGGTAAAAATGCCAAAACAGTCTCATTCATGAACACATGGGTGGAGAGGGTGGGAGAACACAGTAACTAAAGGTTTAAAAATGAAAACAGGATAGCGGATGGTGGCTCTAACACAAAACAAAGTCTATTATAAAATGAACAGAAAACATGTTGGATCCTGGGAGCTCTGTCTCACATATGGTGGAAGTTTGGAAAACGTCAACATTTTTTAAGGGAATTACATAGTTACATAGTTACATAGTTACATAGCTGAAAAGAGACTTGCGCCCATCAAGTTCAGCCTTCCTCACATTTATTTTTTGCTGTTGATCCAAAAGAAGGCAAAAAAAAACAGTTTGAAGCCCAATTTTGCAACAAACTAAGGGAATAAAATTCCTTCTTGACCCCAGAATGGCAGTCAGATTTATCCTTGGATCAAGAAGCTATTAGCTTACATTGAAAAATTATATCCTTGAATATTCTGTTTTTGTAAGTATGCATCTAGTTGCTGTTTGAACATCTGTATGGACTCTGATAAAACCACTTCTTCAGGCAGAGCATTCCACATCCTTATTGTTCTTACAGTAAAAAAACCTTTTCTTTGCCTCAGATGGAATCTTCTTTCTTCCAGTCTAAACGCATGACCTCGTGTCCTATGTAAAGTCCTGTTTGTGAATGGATTTCCACACAATGGTTTGTATTGACCCCAATTATAATTAATAAACAAGACTGACATCTACTATCACATTTCCTCCAGAGATAGGATTACTTAAAAAATTCCCCAAAACTATTAGTAAAATAGATAAGGTCACGATAGGCCACTTAGAGGGAAAATGTCAGTCATACCATGTCACTAGAAATCATTGACCATCCTATCCATGAAAGAAGTACTACATCTAACACTTGATAATAAAAGGTATGAACTGGCACCGAGGCAATCATCCCTTCAGACTGCTCAGTTAAACCGTTTTCCTGGCACTGCAGGTCCCCTCTCCCTTCCACCCCCCATCCCATGTTGCTGAAGGAGTTAAAACCCCCTCAATGACTTACCTGTATCCAGCGCCGATGTCCCTCGGCGCTATGTCAGGGTCTGCCAATGATCCTCCGCAGCCAGATGACTTATTTAGCATCCGCGGCCGCCAGCGGGAGAGACCTAATGCGCATTAGACCTCGCTATAGGAAAGCATTAAAAAAAGATTTCAATGCTTTCCTATGGGGATTTCAGAGACGCTGGAGGTCCTCACATACCGTGAGGACGTCCAGCGACGTTATAGCACACTTTCCGTGTGCCTTAAACACAGAAGTGCCCTCTAGTGGCTGTCTAGTCGAATAGTAGTATTGAAATAGACAGCCACTAGAGGAGTTAACCCTGCAAGGTAAATATTGCAGTTTATGAAAACTGCAATAATTACACTTGCAGGGTAGTGGGAGTTGGCACCCAGACCACTCCAATGGGCAGAAGTGGTCTGGGTGCCTGGAGTGTCCCTTTAAGGTTTTATTGGGGCAATTGGGAAAGTAAAAGAAAATGTATCTCCTATAATTAAAGGAACACAAACATTATTCCTGGCTCTAAAGTGTACAAATCACTGACACCACCTTGCCCCCCTAAATGTAGTAAAATTGTATTTGTATTACAGTCTGCAGCTGCTGGCTCAGTCCCTGGTCTGCCTGCTTGACTGGCATCATCAGAAGTCATTCTCTCAGCTAATCACAATGCTTTCCCATAGGATTGGCTGAGATTATCAAGGAGGCAGAGCCAGAACAAGCCAAACACAGCCTTGGTCAGTCAGCATCTCCTCATAAATTCAACTGAATCAATGTTTTAAATGCATTTTTCACACAAACACAAATCTGAATATGAATGCTAACTTTGGCCAGTGTTTGTAACTAAGTGGCTACTAAAAAAGAATGGACATACCCCATACTGAATACCCTGGGTTGTCTACTTTTGCAAATGGTATGCCATCATGGGGTTAATTCTCATTCCTGGGCTATGATACAGTCTCAAAGGCAACATAACCAATCTGATAAACTTCAATGTGTACAAACTGAAAAATGGAACATGCTATATTTGACCCTGTAACCTTCCAAAATACCATAAAACCTGTACATGTAAGGTACTGTTGTACTCGTGAGACATCGCTGAACACATGTGTATTTTATTGCAGTAACAGCTAACAGTATTATGACATTCACAGTTAACATGGCACGCAAAACAAAAAAAACAAATATGGAGAAAATTTTTTCTTAATTTCTCACTTTTTTCAAATTTAATTCTTAATAAATTGCTATATACATAGGAATAGTTGATGTAAAATGAAAGCCCTCTTTCTCGAGAACAAAATGATATATAATAAGTGTGGGTGCACTTAATATGAAAGAGGTGAATTACGGTTGAACAGACATATAGCACAAATTCCAGGGTTTCTTTTTTTTTTTTCAGAATGTGCACAATTGACTCTGTCCTTAAGGGGGTTAAAGTGTTTTAAGAACTTGAAGAAGAAGAAAAAAAAACAAAAAAAAAACATGCACTTTTATAGAAATAATTAACTGCATCTCACAATTGCTCAGTGAAGAGTGCCATCTAGTGACAGAGACACAAACTGCTGGAATTGTGCAGAGAAACTAGTGTTTGGGTTATTCAGTAAAATCTCAATTGAAAACAAATTTTAAAAAATTAGGCAAATATACCTGACTGAAAAAATACTCCAACTCAAATATAGTGATAGCTTGACCATTTACCATTAGTTTTTCAATCCTGTTTTCTATTTGCTACAATTCAGAGTTGAATAGACTTGAATATTCGCCAAGACAACTGTATTTTAGTTTGGCTATTTAGGGTAAAAGTCACTTTCAATTCCTGACATCACACTGTAACAACATTATAAACAAATACCGTAAAAAGTGGTCCAGGATAAAATGTTTCTTCGAACTAGTTTATTCACTTCATCATTTAAGAATCAGTAGACTACATACAGTTACAGAAAGTATATTCATTATGATGGGATGATTTAATAAACACCGGATTGAGAAATTTTGGCAAAAAAGTGATGATATAGACAAATACGTTATAGTCATATCCTGGTTATTTAAGGCAGACTAGATTGGCTGAATGGTTATCTGCCGTCACATTCTATGTTTCCAAGTAAATAAATCACTTGTTTTACCACAAGTCCGACTATTTAGCCATCATGTACAGTTAAATATATTGATGCATAAAAATAAAGAAAAAAAGTGTTACAATTCTTCACACCATTACCCAGCTTTGAAGATTAAGGTGAAATCCGATGGATCGGTGGTCAGTTTTCACTACGTTTGGACACAACATGAAATGAAGATTCCTCCCAATAGGTCATGGGTAGGCAATATCCTACACGCTAGATGTTGTGGACTATATCTCCCCTGATGCTTAGTTTATATTATGGCTGTAAGTGCATTACAGCAGATGTAGTCCACAACATCTAGAGTGCCGAATGTTGCCTACACCTGCATAGACTATGTTTTTTAAAGTCGTTCTGTTCAAACCACAGACTTGGATCGTATCTTCCCTTATAGAAAGTTAGGTCAAAACAATTAAACCCCTTGACTACCAATGAAAGATCAGAGTTTCAGCAACATGATCCCCTCTTTGGCCAACAATAAACAGTATCTATGGAAGTGAATAAAATATATTTTGTGCAACAGTTAAGAACCTGAAAACTGTGCACATTTAAATTACAATATGTCAGTATTAATGCCATCCTGCACATTTAAAGAAATTGTTTATTTTTATTATTACTAAAATGTATAAGATTGCATGTGTTATAACATTGTTGCGTGTTCTTTCCCAATAAAAACATAATAGTTCATCTCTTTTCAGTGAGTTTTTCTTGATTAAAGTAACTTCATACGGGAGGCTGTATTAAGCCGTTTTTGGTTGGAATGTCCCATCGGCGAACACCATGCACATGTATGGAATCATTTCACAATGTACTTTTGGGATGCACAAGCTTTTGTGTTGTCAGGATACAAGAACATGCACATCATAGAACTATTTATGACATGCCCATATGTATCAAAGAAAGCTATGAGATGCACTAAAAAGACATACTTGCAAAATGTATTAACAGGCTATAATTCACGTAATACTTTAAATAAAACCGCAACACTTTTCCTTTAGCTTAAAGGCCAAATTGTTTAAGAATACAGGACATTTTTGATACTCCCTACCAGATCACCCTATTAATTTACTTCAATCCCACTCAACCCTTTTTCCTACAATGTTGTCAATGTGTCCAGAACCGGTTTGCATTTTTGAACACATGCATATTTTGACTCCATGATATATTCTGCGGCCATAAAAGTCTTACAGGAGTTCTATTTGCACGAATTGTATCTTTACCATTTCTGCTATGGTAAGCACATTGCTCAGATATTTACATTAAAAAAATAAAATGATATATAAATATTCCTGGCAGATTTCCACTGATCCCAACTTATTATAAAGTCAAACCTGTTTAGTAATTTTTGTACGTTTTTTTTGTTAGGGAAAATTACAAACAAATCACACAGAACTGCAATAGAGGATTTCAAAAGAACAAAAATATTTAATGTGGCTTGTAATTTGGAACAAACAGCTGAATAATCAACATGACAAAAAGAATAAATCAATTGCGCAATAAACTTTAAAAAGTAGCTATTTTATACCTTTTTCCCTTCAAAAACATTACGTCATATATGTTTTCCATTTTATCGAATGTCCTCCCCTACTAATAAATAAACATTTATTTTACTTATTTGAGGCATTAGTAGAATGCTTTGGCAAATTAGCAATTTTCCTTGAAGATCTGCAACACAATTTAGAAAAGGGCTAAATAATGTAAGCCACAATGAAGAGCTGCAGGAAAAATGATTTTTATTAAGATAAATCTTCAAAACGCAGTATATTTCCTTGCTAAATATATCAAAATTGAGACAATTCTTCCAGAGCCAAAAGCTGGTTTTGGAGCAATATAATGTTTCAGAAGATTGCTCCGAGTGCAGGACTTTAACTTCTGGCCTTCCAGATGTTGTGAACTAAATTTCCCCTGATGCTTTATCAGTATTATAGCTTTATGAGCATCATGGGAGATGTAGTCCACAACACCTGGAGTGCCGAAGGTTGCCTTCTAGATAAACAGGGACCTTCGTAATATCGGTCGAGAACTTTAAAAGTACTCTTAATGCAACCAATTTAACGTATGCGTTGTGCAATCGACTAAAATGGGTATATTTATATTTGCAGAAGACACAAAAAAATATAGCAAAAGTTACTGGGCAAGAATAAAGAGCTTGCTGCAAGAATTAATGGAAAATAGTCATGTACACACCTACAACCTTCAAACTGTCGTATTCTTTGTAGATTCATTCAAAACCTTGAGATCTGTAATGCCATTCAGAGTTCATTCCCTGATCCCCATTCAGTTTAGCAGGAGAGCATCGTTTGTTGCACTTGCACTGTACAGAGTAACTTCTGAGCCACAGCCCATGAGCAGTACGCTTCAATCATGCTCTGTACATGGTTTGCCCCAGGAGGGACCAGCCAGACAGGCCCGGCCAATATCACAGCCACTTTCAGACCAACAGACCAACACCACATTCATACACTTTACTTGGCCTCTGCTAAGATTTGTTCAGGAATGCAGAATGAAATACGGCATGCAATATAGTTGAGCGCAGCAAAGTAACCTAATCCTCCAGACCTGGAACCAGAAGTGAAGAAAAATAATTGTCCCTAACATTTGCAAAACCTCTGCTTATCAATCTGCTGGCATAATGCAAAGATGAAGCCATTAATGTGGCAGAGTCCAAACAACGTCGGATTCAATGGAGGTAGTGTACAGGATATCATATACTCAACTTAAATGGGCATTATAATTATTAATTCCATACCCCAAGAATAATAAATGTAAAAAACAACTCCACAGAAACGTCATTGAAAATGTTGTCACCAAGTCTTCTACAAACACCAGTTTTTTTTTTATTTCAAAATATTTTTCCAATATGCTAACGGCATGGAAAACTAACAGGGTGGGGGCAGGCACGTGTATAGGAGGGCCAGAACCCCATCAGTTTTAGGCCTTTTCTGAGTTTTGGTCAAATAAGTAAAATTGTTTATAGAGTACAGCTTCTAGTGGGTCAGCAAATATCAATGACTGATATATAAGGAAAAAAAAATGTGGTTAATCACTACACAGAGAGTGGTGGGATTAGGAATTGCAAATTTCAGGAAACTTATTTTCTCCAACTTTTGTTTTTCTTTTTGAGTTCTGTTACTGTGGCATAAAAGATTATTTTGTTATATCTACACAATGCAATTTGGTAAACAAGACCGAGAGATGGTAGGGGTGATTTTGTTGCTTCCAACACGTCTAACAACAGTTGGTAGTTGCTTATAAATTAACAGATAAACTGCGAAGAAGCTTTGTATTTCAAAACATGAAACAAAAAACAAAAACAAAAAGAACAGCAGTTTAATTGAATAGCTTCCAATATAGGAGAAGGTGTTACTTATGATACATAAATAATAAACATCGGTAATAGCCACACATGCGGTTTAGCTTTTCAAAGCAGCATACAAAAATTGGTGAACAAAAATAAACAAATCATTTTTTCTTCGCTCAAACACTATGCCCAGTCTTTCTATCACCAACTACCCCATAATTCCAATGTCCTTGCCTAGCCATGTCCTCATCTCCAAACAGGTAGGTCTGAAAACTTTTCTACAAACTGCATTTTTAACGCTGCAAATAGACAAAAATGTAAAAGTGAACATCATAATTTCATAGTTACAAGATATTTGCACAATTTTTTTTAAAGCTCGGGGAAATCAAGAGCTTGAAACCTTTCGGCAAACAGTATGGCATAAGTACTACAGGGGGAAAAAACGGAGCCGGTCCAACCAAGGAAAAACTTTCATCATAAATATAATCTAAATATCTGCTCAAACAAACATACGCGTGGAGGAAACATCGAGGAGTAGTGAGTAGTAACAGTGGCCAGCGACGGTTTGAAATCAGTGGCTTAAAAAAACAAAAAAATAAAAAAATTAAACATTTTTAAAGGATTTCAGATCTTCAGTTTTTAGGACATAGCAAACATTAACTTGGTACGTGTGTAAACATCATTAGACTTAAAACAATGACCGACTTCATATTTCAGTCTGATGCAGATGCCGAATCCAATCACTGCTAACATGACATGTAACCAGAAAACTTCCATCCCAAAATTTGAAAAAAAAAAGTGAAAAATAAAATCATAAAAAACAAGAAAGCCTTCTGCAAGGATGGAAAGGTAATCTTCAAGACACGTCTCAACTTAGAGGGCATTCGGAAAGTTTGTGATTACTCCAGATTAGATCTTGCTATAAAGTTTGACGTACTTTTTGCCATTCAACAAACTCATCAAGGAGAACAGGCCCTGGGAAAATAAGGAAGTATAAATTATGAACACGTAATATAACAGGAAAGAATCCACCTATAAGAAGATTATACACATTAACTTGGCCCCCGACGTCAAGGGAGGAGAAGCCTGACCCAGCGCCGTGGGGCACAGGCGCAGGATCCAGGTAAGTGACAGAAGGGTTTCTATCCCTTTCTGTGCTGCGGGGGGAGGAGTGTGTGAGCGAAGGGGCATAGAACTTTGTATTCCTGGCTCTATAGTTTCCCTTCAGGTTTTAGTTGTTTTGGTTACTATAGTATCCCTTTACCTGAGGAAATAAGACACTTTTTAAAACGGATCAAACAAGAAATATACAGGTCTATTTACGAAACACATAAATCTGGTAAGTGGCCATGTTTTCTCACACTCCAGGATTACCCACATTCGTTTCAAAGAATGACATATTTGAAAATATTGTCTACCCTGCATGATAAGCAAAAGTGTGAGGCATCTACTTGTCTTGTGAAATAAGTATCCATCAGAATCAAACCAAAGGCAGATTAGGCTTGGAGTTACTCATTGTATGATGTAAAGAACACAATGCCCCCAACCTGTTTATATAGGATTAACATTCCTAAGCAAAATTTTTAGAATGTCACTTACATGCGCCATCTTCATCATAGTTGCCAAGATCGGCATGCACGGTTCGGCTGAATTCTAAGACATTGTACCACTGGTCTTTGTTCATAACTCTGTACTTTGATTGCTAAAAGGAAAACGTTACAGGTTAGCACTGTGCTCTGAGAAGTAACATAAGGACCCATGAAATTTAATGGGTGTCCGATAAACAGTGGACTGTTAGCTGCCTACGTTTATACCCAATGGTGTTTATGGAAGGGCTCGGAAATACTAAAACCTTGTTAAGGGACTACATACACATCCGGGTGAAAAAAAGAATGTGCTGCATATCAGCATGAAGCAATAAGGACATGAATTGTAGAAGGTTTATGACAATCTGTTTCCACACAATTGTCTCTAATACGAGAGAACTTGGATTACAATAGAACAAGACTCTTGATATCATAGTACTGCTATAGCACTTCAGCTATTATACTACAAGTCCCATAAATCCCAAGTCACCTGAGAATAATGAGAGGTGTGAATCAATAGTTAGAATGGAGAACTCTGATAAACTATCATTAGATCTTAAGAGGTTAAAGTCAGACACTATACAAAACAGGACTTCAAAGATACACCACTTTTTTTAAATCACTGTTTATCAGATTTACCCAGTCGAAAACATGCATTACTTACGCATTTTCCCCCCAATGGGAGTATATCTAATAACAGTTTTCAAAAGCTCCAAATATCTTGCCTGCTGCCTTTAAAATTCTCCCCTACTAACCCTGCCTAGACTTTCTTCGGCTGTCCAATCAATCACAGACTTCCCAATGCAGCTCATTGAGAAGTCTTTGCAAGGTTGTTCCTCTGAGCAATTGCCTGCCTGTTCAGTTTATCTCCACTGAGCTAAACAAGCAGGATGTAACCGGACTTGTTCTCGGACAGCCAGTGGGGGGTAACAAGGTTTATTTATAAACATGCCAATTTCTATTGAACTCTGCACTTAATTTTTCTTTTCCATTTTAAAAAGGAAAAAAAAAGACAAACTTCAGCAAGCTTAAGTGCTTTAAGTGTGTGAAGCGTGTCTGCATGGCATCACATACTATCCGACCAGCCAGGCCTTATAAATTTATTTAACACTGAAAGCCTGAAGGGTCCATGGCACGCTGAGCATGGGTTTATTTCAACTTGCCAATGGCTAGTGAAAATCTTGAGTCCTGTTATATAAGACAGTGATACCTCTGTTCCGAAAAATGTTTTCACCTGCGCATATGTATATTATTCACCCATTCAAAATTAATGTAACCCAATGTATTCATGACTAAATTGTATTCCTGGTCTTCCAATCGTTTTGGAGGACAAAAGAATACATATAAATATAATGCATCAGTACCATATACAAAACATGCACTTGTCTGTCTGTGTCATACGTGTATAAGTTAATATTCTTACCTCCAAATACTGATAAAATACTGAGAATAGCGGCCATGTTCTACCTAATAGCAATGCCAACATAGACTTTGCGGTGTCAATATCAAGACTTCTCTGGTCCTTGTCCTATAATAAAGAGACAGACATTGAGTTATCACCGGTTAAAAGTTTTAGTGACAAGGGTGGCCATATTAAAAAGTTTATATAGTATTATAAGACAGCCACATTATTTGTGTAATTTGTGTTTAAGGCAAACATACACACAGATGTAGTCACACAGACTAAAAGTGTTTGTCTGATAGCGATTAAATAAAGGTTATCTCTGAACAGTGCCACCATTGATTTATTTTGAATGCGTAAAAATACAAAAAACAGCTTCTACCGCAGATTCCACAAAACTAACGTGTGTATTGTTTTTTTGTTTTTTTTTAATGCTATACTTCAGGCAAACTATGTCATACTTTGACTCTACTATTTTATACCTAGATGATACAAGATATTTGCCCAATATTATAATATTCCTCAGAAACGCACTTAAAATATGGTCTATCCATTGGCACCAAGTTCCTATTTGACCAACTGATTTAACAATAAATACCATCAACCCATTTTTAAAATATCTATTTTCACTAATCCTGCCAAAAAAGTACACACTTTACAAAACATAAGAATGTTGGGATTTCAGATCAAAGTAAAGAAAAGTACAACTTTCAAAACAGATTTCCTTTAATGTACTCGTATAGCCTCCTTTCCAGACTTCTATTTTTACTATAATCTCTAGATTATCTAGATGAGGGGCTTTTGAATACTGCTCACTTGTTCTGAATGTAATACCTACATAGAACGAACTAACAAAATAAAACAGGAAAAGAAATGGAAATAGGAAAAAAAAAAACCACAAAACAAAAACCAGATACTGTCAAATTTGCTATAGATCTAGAATTAAAAGTCACAATATGAATTTCTTGTTTATCAGAGAAAAAGAAAGACAAAAGTTATGCATGGTAATAACCAAAGAGTGTTCCTTTAAGCAATCTGCATGAAATCTAAAATAAAACATCAAAACTTACCAAGGACGAAAGGGTCCGTGTTGTAACAGCCCTAGACTTACCCTTGCAAAATCAAAAGCATATCTGTAAATATTCTTAAAAGCAGTGATGTCATTGAGTTGAGCGCGTAGATAATCAAATTTACTCTGTAGCTTCTCTGTGCAGTCACATCTTGGAAAAGAAAGAGTGTTTAAGTTAAGCTACCCCTACAAACTTGGATCGACAATGCAAATATTATCCAAGGTTATTTATTCATCTAACAGATGTGGTTAGTAGTAAGAATAGTAGAATTGTACCGGGGAAGAAAAAAAAATAAAAAATAAAATGAAAAAACACGCATATTTAACTTTCAGATAAAAAGTCTATGTTTTAATATAAATATTATGAGATCGCACTGACTAATAAATGCCTTCAGTTAAAGACTTTTCGTCAAACTTTTCGATAAGTGAAAAGAGGTTTCTGTACACTACAAAAATTATGTGATGCAAGATTTTTATTTTCTTCCCTTTTTATTGTGCACGCTTCTGATATTTGGGTAAAAAACCTTTTGTTTTGATCCTGCTCTGCTAACAGGTGAGGCCCAATGGTAAGCAAGGTTCCTTTTAACGTATACTTGTAACACAGAAAAGCTGTAGACAACATCATCAGCATGAGAAAGGGATATTAATGTAATCTATACATCGCGCTGGAAGAACGTTTTCTAGAAGATCAAGATGGCTGTAAAGGGTGTGGTAAGCAGATACACAGCTGCTTTATGCATTTTCACACATGCCCTTAAAATCTGCAGCAGCATTTCACAATACAGATTGAAATCTAGTCTCATTAAAGATATACCATGTTACCTTTGCACTATAAATGACATGTTTTCACTTAAAGGGACACTAAAGTACAGCTTAATGTAGTTGCTCTGGTGAGTATAATCATTGCCTGCAGGCATTTTAATGCAAACACTGCCTTTTCAGAAAAAGGCAGTGTTTACATTGCCCCTAGGGACACCTCCAAGTGGCCACTGGAGTTGCTTTCTGGCTCAGGGCTGCACAGTAGGCAACAGTGCCGTTCAGCATCCCCACGCTCTGCATGGGGACGCAGAATTTTCCTCATAGAGATGCATTGAATCAATGCATCTCTGTGAGGTGGTGCTGATTGACTAAAACGGTGTTTGGCCCCGCCCCATTGCCGATTTTTAGCCTCTCCAATGCTTTCCCCATGGGAAAGCATTAGATTGGCTACAAATCGGCAATTGTTATGTCACAATTGCCAGCGCCGACGGATGAGTGCGGCGCAAGAAATAAGGTGATTTTTCATTGCTTTAAAGGGGGGAGGAGGAGGGGCAAGCCACCTTTAACACTATAGGGTCAGGAATACATGGTTGTGTTTCTGACCCTATAGTGTTTCTTTAAAGAGCAGTTCCAGTCATCTTGTGTGATAAATGAAACTGCTGTTGGGGTGATAACCTACTTTATCCATACACCACTGCTGAACAAAAGTTTACGGAACAAGGTCAGACTCTATAGACCAGAATTAGAGGCCCTGATTGTTGGAACCTCTTCCTGGTGAGGAAGGGCATCGGCCTGAAGCGACAGTAAGCTTATTTAAGGTGCGCAGTTTTAAGATCTTGGAAAGCTAGTTTTTTGGGTTTTTTTAGACATTTTATTTACAGTACCTTATCTCATGGTATTTCTTGCAAAGAGGATGCTAGAAGACATGAATGTGACTAAAGAATGGCAACACAAAAAAACAAAACAAAATAACAGCCCACCAGCACTGTATAAAAATCAACTGAATGGACTGTCACAGCTTACAACTGCCTACATCATACAAGATTTATTCCTGATCTTTCTTACTGTAAAGATGTCATTCCTTTTAACCATTCCTCCTTCGTAAAAAAGCCCATGTTTTCAGCCTCTAGTTTCCAGGCCAGAACCAACATGATTATCTAAGAAAGTTAAGAAATGAAAAGAAAAAAAAAAAATTATGAAAAACAACAACAACTTGTACCAAAATACAGTGGAACCTCGGAACTGGAACGCTCCCTCACCCAAACAATTCGGTATTCAAAGATAAAATTTGAGGGGAAAAAAAAAAAATGTCTCGGTACCCGAACAAAACTCTGTCTTAGAACAAAATCACACAGCATTAACCTTGTTGGAACCTCGGTTGGCATGACACATCGCCCTCCTAGCATTAGATAAAGCGAACAGTTGTGTTTATGGTTTTTCAGTATGATTTTATGCATGTGATGTATTATTAAACTGTAAAACTTGTGTTAAAATGAAATATTTTTGGGGGTCTGTAACTGATTAATCTAATTTATATTAATTCTTATGGGAAATTTTGATTCGGTTTTCGAACAAATCGGTTCTCAAACAGCCTTCTGGAACGGATTAAAGGAACACTATGGTACCAGGAAAACAAACTTGTTTTCCTGGCACTTTAGGGTTATTAGGTCCCCCCTTACCTCGGAGTCCCCCTTCCTCGGGGACCTCTCCTCCCCCTGCAGACGTCAGCTCCGAATGTCCATGCGCGGCCAGAGCCGCTCGCGAATTCAAACCGCCCATAGGAAACTATTACTCAACGCTTTAATTCGATTTTCGCATTGAGTTCAATTCGATTTTCACATTGAGGATCACGGAAGCAGCCTCTAGTGGCTGTCAGTGAGACAGCCACCAGAGGCTGGATTAACCCTGCAGTGTAAACATAGCAGTATCTCTGAAGAGTAAGAACGTGAAGGGTGCAAATTGTGTGTGTGTGTTTTTTTTTTTTTTAATCATTCCAAGTAAATTAACATAATTATGTTAACCATTAAAGGAATCCTATAGTGCCAGGAAAACCCTCACTTAGGGCACATCTCCCTCGGCACCTTCGGCTACTTACCATACATTAATCCAGCGCCGGCCCCCTCTGTGCTAGTGACCTCTCCTCCATATGGTCTCATTTCATCTCCTCTCTGTATGCTTTTGCAGTGCTGACAGCCATGTGCAAAGGACAAAGCTGATCGTCAGGGAGCCAAAATGGAGGTGCCCAGAAGTGCAATAATGAGGTCTGAATTTGTACATTTCAGTTCTATTTTTAATAATACAGATTATTAAAATCCAGCCCAAGGTAAAACAATGAGATGAATGAAAATTATTAACTTATGTGTGTGTGCACACTACAAAATAATACACAATAGTTATAATACATGCAAGCTTTTATTTTTAACAAAAATTAGACAAAAAACTATGAGGGTTTTTTGTTTTTAAACCATTTTATATAGCATTCTAACAAAATAAATCCACAAATCTATAGTGTCATGCTAAATAGCCTTTTTGCATGTAAAGTAAGTATCAAGAAGCTTACCCTGCTCATAATAGCCCCTGGATACATTACTTACCAGCAGCTCAGACAGGTCCCAAGTACTCACAAGCTGAGTCAACAGACTATCATCTTCTAGACCATACTCAAGAACTCAGTTCAGTGGAAACTCAGTAAATGAAAGCAGCTGACCCATTTTTCTCCAGAGATGCACTACAGGAAACTTGCAATGCATGTATGCATAATAAACTAGCATCAAAAAAAGACTGCAGCAAGTTTACACTCCAAGGCTATGAATCCTAGTTGAAGTGCCTTAATTTCTAATAATAAGAATAATAATCATTCTTTTGTTGGGTCAACTACTGTTGTTAAAGACTTTTGTCTACATTAGATGTTTAAAGCTTGTTAATCAGAATATCCCAAGAAAAAAGGTGCTTGCTCAAATACTCTTTATTGCAGCCACAATGTACAAACCTTGTTTGGAGCAAATCTCAAAGATCTGTTCCTTCTGCAATGACAAGGAAGTGGCTTTGATCTTGAGCCAATTCCAACTCACATTTTTTTTTAATCCATTTAACCATTTGTAAAAATAGAGCACTTACATTTTCAGGTTCAACCCCAATGTCTTCACAAAACTTTTCCATGGCTTCAGGCCCAACAATTTCATCTGGCCCTTTACAAACAATAAAGAAAAGGAATAATAATAAATAAAAAATTAAAAAAAAGCAAACAACGGAATGAATTCAAATACTTCAGCCTATGTAAACTACAGTGATAGAAATATTTTTTTATTTTTCAAGAATTCTTAAGCTTCATAATGAGATAAAAAAAAAGTATAATCTGAAGGTGCGGGCGAAGTGGTTATCCGTGACGTGAAAAAATAAATAAATAAATAAAAAGCACCAAATTGACATGTGAAAGTTGTGGTTGGAGGTGATATAAGATGGGAGTGGATAGCAATGAATGCCATGGGAATGAGTTAAGTTCATACATAGAATACCATAGGTATGGAAAATGAACACATCCCCGAAACCTCCTCTCACACACCCTACAAATAACACACAGTGATACAACATGCATTCATACGCACGTACGCACATAGACCCTAAAATTCATAGCACTGCAACTCTTTAAAGAAATAATCCAAACACCAAGTGTGCTGTAGTAATTATGAAGCCAGGAAAGCCCTGGCTTCATAATTACCTTTGTAAGTAATCATATTGTTTTAGAACCTGGAGGCAAAGAGAAAACACCGATCCCAAGTAAGAAACTGAACCATTCTAAAAACAGTTTGACTATTTACATTGGCTGTAGTGGTTATGGTGCTCGCACTCTTTTAAATACTAGTTTTTGAAACCTGGCAACAAAATAAATTCTGGAAACGTATACAGCTAAAGCTGCAATTTGCAGGTGCTGCCATTAATCAAGTCACTCATGATTAAGATATGCAGGGAGAGGGCCTGCCTTGGTACAGTGTGATTGATTGAGATTTATTGGAAGATCTGCTGAATCAAGGATGGCAACATGGTGTACACATAGTATAGTGATGTCTACAAGAGATGTAGGGGTTTATGATGTTCTGCTACTACTTAGATGTGAGAGACTAGAAGGATGGACTTTGGCTATATGAGGGGGAAACCATCATCACGAGACACGCAAGCGCATTTTCTGTACAATTCTCTCACTGAGAGCTGGATATGCTGCACGTATCTCTACAGAGTTGTAGGGAAAAGTGCAGATACTGTTCACGTACTAATCTTGGAAGTGTGACACAAGGTGATTGAGCAAGTGTGTTTTATTCTTTTCCCAAAAATGCCATGATCTTAAAAACATATATTTTTTTTAAATCCAACACATCATTGCATCATAGTTGCCTAGCATACCCATGTATTTAGTTTTCACCTAAACTTCATAAAAAATAAAAAAAAATCACAAAAGAAAAGTGGAAAACATTTAGTAAACCAGGAGAACTGTCTAGGCAAGGCATTTGCTTATATTCATTTACTTAATATAAAACGAAAAACCTTGAACATGAAAACGTTACCAAATAATAAAAAATTTGAGTGTCAATACTTTCTCAAAGAAATAAACATTGTTATTGTTAGCAATATATATATACCTACCTTAGTTGAGAAACTCTGAATCCTCCTGATTGCATGTACATCATTTATTCAAACATTCAACAATTGGACCAAACAATGTTTAAACAAGAACTCTGTTTACGTCAAGTCATCGTTTTAGAGTTTGATAGAATAAATCATTTACACGATATTAAAGCGGTGTGGAATCTAAATGTATTCTGAGTTGCAAGGACAGGCATGCCTTCTCTCTCTCCATCAAGCGGACTATTGTATATATTAAACATCTACTCAATAACTTTCATGGATTTTTTATTTTTATATCACAGCAGTAGTACTTTATGGAGTGATTTACATGATGTTTTAAATAGGGAGCTAAGCATTTATGCAGAATGCAGAGTGTAGCAATATACAATAACGACAGGAAATACCTGCATATTCATAAAACCAGGACAGACATTTCTTGCTAGAGAACAGATCTTCTCCACCTATTATTCTAGCAGGTGCTTGAGATCTACAATAACTAAAAACAAAAATGCACAGTTAGTATAAGTGTGAATCTTTAGCCTTTTCAAAAAGGTTTAAAAAAACAAAAAATTGTAACCGTTTTTTTAAAACTATATAGATATGGGCAAAACAATGACAGTACCTTGTTATTCTACATTTTTTTAAGTTCATTTCTTCGGCGGAGGAAGCTTTTCTCTTTTTTTTCACCGGCATTTTAGCAGGAGTTGATGAGTTCAGCAGAGCCCGGTAGTCAGACTTCCTAAACCAGGACAGATGGTAAAAATTGCAATTATTACACAGCCCTCGAAACATACTGCGCAGCTCTGGACAACGGGTGGCACAACATAAACGCATCTAGAGACACTCAAGAAACATGTGGATAGGATGGTCCACAGAACTGACAATCTGGAGTAGTGATGACAAACTTTTTTAAGCCTGAGTACCCAAACTGCAACTCAAAACCAATGTATCTAAAAGTTCCAACACTGCAATTAAACAAGGAAACTGAGATCATATTGTGTGTGATGTGTGCTTAAAGGACCACTATAGGCACACAGACCACTTCAGTTCAATTAAGTGGCTTGGGTGCCAGGTCCCCCTAGTTTTAACCCGGCAGCTAAAAAGATCGCAATTTCAGAGAAACAGCTATGTTCACACTGCAAGGTTAATCTAGCTTCTAGTGGCTCTCTCCCCGACAGCCACTAGAGGCGCTTTACACTGAGTAAATCGCACTTATTTCACACTGGACGCCCTCACGGAGGCCAGTGCCAAAAAAAAGATCCCAATAGGAGAGCATTGAGTAATGCTTTGCTATGGGCGGGTTAGAATGAGCCTCTGGTCGCGCATGCGGCTCCACTTGGGAGCCGACGTCGCCAGCGGGGGAGGAGAGTTCACCAGCGCCGAGGGAGCCCGGCCTTGGATTAAGGTAAGGTAAGTGACTGAAGGGGTTTTAACCCCTTCAGCGGCGAGGGAGGGGGGCACTGAGGGAGGGTTCTCCGGGAACTATAGGATCCCTTTAATGGTTAACATAATTATGTTCATTTACTTGCAATGATAAAATAAAAATAGAAACACATTTGCCCCCTTCACCTTCTTACTCTTTTTGCAGGGAGAGAGCTATCTTTAGTGGTGGTCCAGTAGGGGTTAATAATAGAAACATGAAAGTCCACTGGGGTTGAAGTGGGTATCATTCCAGGAGTACCCTGGCTCTGTTTACAGGTAATGGGTCAAACGATATAGCCTTCTTGCCTGGTTCCCCGCCATGCACCGACTGTCCTCCTGTTGCCAGTGATGACATTCAGATTCTACAGAGCTGCAGAAGTCGATCCTGACAGTCATTCATTGGTTGAGAGCGTCAGCTGGCCCCTCTCAGACACTTAATGCAATTATGTGCAAATAAATATGCACAGAATTGAAATTAGCCAAAAAGAGTAAATCTTTAAAAATAATGGTTTAATGAGGGCTGTCTGCCATTTTTTAAATTATACTTGGTGATAATACTCAGACAATTTATTTTTGATCCCAGTGAATTATAAAAATTGGGCCTCTTACTGCTGTAAAAGTGATCAAATGTTAGTCACTGTGAGATCCTATGGCAGTGTTCATTGCTGATTGGGACACACATTTAGTTTTATCAGATGTGAGGTAAGCCCCAATTACGGATGTAAACGGCACGACAGATGAAGCCTTACAACAGATGTCAAATATGCACAGAAATGACATTAGCCGGCCCAGAACTCGTGTTGGCCTGGCTAATGACGTCCAAGAACACTGCCAGAGATGAAGTTACACTTCTGATAGCAGAGCTGTTAAAATCTGTATGTGCAGCGCTTCTAAGAGAAAGCCTGAACATACAGACTCCAGGTCACATCAAATCAGTGAAGTGGTCAGGAGTAACCCTTTAAAAGAAGGGCCAAGATGTTTTGTGCTTTTATGCATACATGAATAAAAAAATAAAAAAAAACACATGACAGGTTACCCAGGAGATACACTGGGAAAAAAATGCAGACTCTGTATGGATTCTAACTTCATTAACTTTTGGTATTTTAAAAGGAGCAAGAGTTGCAAAATACTTTTACCACCCAAGTCCAGTTCAACATACATGACTGACACTCACTGCTGCCTGACAGCTGATCTGGAGACAGTTTGTGTTGTCATCATCAGCCAATCATTGGTTGATGTCAGTGTTCTTGCAGTAAGAGACCTTCAATTTAGTTTGAAATCAGTACAGGATTGTATTTAAAGGGTTACTCAAAGCACCATGACCACTTCAGTGATTTGGAGTGCTCATAGTGCCTGGAGTTTGTATGTGCAAAGTTTTGCTATGGAAGTTTAACCCATTCGCTGATGGAGGTGTAACTCTAGCTCTGGCTGCATTACTTAGTCATCATTAATCAGCTCAAAACAAGAATTCTGGACTGTGCAATGTCAGGTGACAACTGGTGTCCAATCTCAGCACACTCCTCCCAAGAGTAAATATGTATATATTTCTATACCTTTGTGATTGATTTTATTTATTTTTTTAATCCGCTTGGTAAAGGGCATAATTATGGGTATCCCGCACATTATTTCTGCACATGTTAAACGGAGTAATAATTCAATAAATATTTGCACATTTAAATATATTCTTTCTGAATGCATTGGTTTTCTTAGAAAATAATTTAACTTGTAAATGTGGGCCTTAAAGGGAATTTGTTATAAAATACCCTGAAGAGTTCCAACTCATCCTTCAAAACAGCAGATACTGTTAAAAGGACACTATAGTTGCCGAAACAACTTTAGCTTAATAAAGCCGTTTTCGTAAATAAATGATGAATCTGCAATCTCACTGCTCAATCCTCTGCCATTTAGGAGTTAAGTCGGTTTTGTTTCTGTTTAGGCAGCCCTAGCCACACCTCCCCTGGCTGTGACTGACACAGCCTGAATGACCAAAAAAAAATATTTCAGTTAGATGTTACTTTAACAGCTGCTATCTCCTGCTCTGTAAATTGAACTTTAATTACATACAAGAGACTCCTGCATGGACTAACACACTATTAACAGTGTAGCAGATGAGAAATTCTAAATTAAACAGAATTTGCAATAAAGGAAGTGTAAACATTAAATGACTCTTTACAGGAAGTGTTTAGGAAGGATGTACATATATGATACATGCAGGGAGGTGTGACTAGTGCTGCATAAACAACATGATTTAACTTCTAAATGGCAGAGAATATCTACATACCAAAACTGCTTTATTAAGCTAAAGTTGTTTTGGTGCCTATAGTGTCCCTTTAATAAGCAACGGGAGCTTGGCAGCTACACACGTGTACCTGCACCTCACCAGACATGCTCTATAACATGCTGCAGAATATTGTGAACATCCTTCTAAGACTACGACTCCCATGGAGGCAAAACATACGGTGAGCAGTAGTTCTACAAACAGTTCTATTAATGGGTAAAAAAAAAACCAAAAAAAAAAAACAACAAGATTATTGTGGGGAATATAATCTTATATATAGAGTTAAACCAATATACCCATGCAGGATGAGGCTCTGTGTATTACAGGACCAGGGTGTGTATTCCATGCTCTGTGTATTACAGAATGTGCTGTGCATGAATGGCTCTGTATTACATGACCATGCTGTGTATTATACACTCTTGCCCCGTTTCCACTGAGCGGTACGGTTCGGTATGCTATTTTGAGTGTTTCCATTATGAAAGTAGCCCATACAACCAAACCAAACCGCACCATTTCTGGGCCCCCTTCAGATGTAGGCCCAAAGGAAATGGTACGGTACAGTTAGGGCGGAGCTACTGGCGTCACACTAAACAATCCATTGACTGGCGGACAGGAAAACGTCAATGCTCACAACAAATGACACGCTAGGCATTTGGTCTAAACCCCGCATGCCCCCTGGTGGTACGACTTGCAGTGGCAACGCTCACCTAAATAGACTGGACCATTCTAACCCTTCTGAAACAAACCGACCCGAACCATAATGCTCAGTGGAAACGAGGCATATGTATTACAGGCTCTGTGTATTACAGGACCGTGCAGTGTATTATACACTCTGTATTACAGGACCGTGCTGTGTATTATACACTGTGTTACAGGCTCTGTGTATTACAGGACCGTGCTGTGTATTATACACTGTGTATTACAGGACCATGTTGTGTATTATACACTCTGTGTATTACAGGACCATGCTGTGTATTATACACTCTGTGTATTACAGGACCATGCTGTGTATTATATCTGTGTATATATCTATTACAGGACCATGCTGTGTATTACAGGACCATGCAGTGTATTATACACTCTGTATTACAGGCTCTGTGTATTACAGGACCATGCTGTGTATTACATCTGTGTATATATCTATTACAGGACCATGCTGTGTATTACAGGACCATGCAGTGTATTATACACTCTGTATTACAGGCTCTGTGTATTACAGGACCATGCTGTGTATTACACACTCTGTATTACAGGACCATGCTGTGTATTATACACACTGTATTACAGGACCATGCTGTGTATTACATACTCTGTATTACATGCTCTGTGTATTATACACTCTGTATTACAGGCTCTGTGTATTACAGGACCATGCTGTGTATTACACACTCTGTATTACAGGGCCGTGCTGTGTATTACACACACTGTATTACAGGACCGTACTGTGTATTACACACACTGTATTACAGGACCGTACTGTGTATTACACACTCTGTATTACAGGACCATGCAGTGTATTATACACTCTGTATTACAGGACCATGCAGTGTATTATACACTCTGTATTACAGGACCATGCTGTGTATTATACACTCTGTATTACAGGACCATGCAGTGTATTATACACTCTGTATTACAGGACCATGCAGTGTATTATACACTCTGTATTACAGGACCATGCAGTGTATTATACACTCTGTATTACAGGACCATGCAGTGTATTATACACTCTGTATTACAGGCTCTGTGTATTACAGGACCGTGCTGTGTATTACACACTCTGTATTACAGGACCGTGCTGTGTATTATACACTCTGTATTACAGGACCATGCTGTGTATTATACACTCTGTATTACAGGACCATGCTGTGTATTATACACTCTGTATTACAGGACCATGCAGTGTATTATACACTCTGTATTACAGGACCATGCAGTGTATTATACACTCTGTATTACAGGACCATGCAGTGTATTATACACTCTGTATTACAGGCTCTGTGTATTACAGGACCATGCTGTGTATTACACACTCTGTATTACAGGCTCTGTGTATTACAGGACCGTGCTGTGTATTACACACACTGTATTACAGGACCGTGCTGTGTATTATACACTCTGTATTACAGGACCATGCTGTGTATTATACACTCTGTATTAAAGGACCATGCAGTGTATTATACAATCTGTATTACAGGACCATGCAGTGTATTATACACTCTGTATTACAGGACCATGCAGTGTATTATACACTCTGTATTACAGGCTCTGTGTATTACAGGACCATGCAGTGTATTATACACTCTGTATTACAGGCTCTGTGTATTACAGGACCATGCAGTGTATTATACACTCTGTATTACAGGCTCTGTGTATTACAGGACCATGCAGTGTATTACACACTCTGTATTACAGGACCATGCAGTGTATTATACACTCTGTATTACAGGACCATGCAGTGTATTATACACTCAGTATTACAGGACCATGCAGTGTATTATACACTCTGTATTACAGGACCATGCAGTGTATTACACACTCTGTATTACAGGCTCTGTGTATTACAGGACCGTGCAATGTATTACACACTCTGTATTACAGGCTCTGTGTATTACAGGACCATGCAATGTATTACACACTCTGTATTACAGGACCATGCAGTGTATTACACACTCTGTATTACAGGCTCTGTGTATTACAGGACCGTGCAATGTATTACACACTCTGTATTACAGGCTCTGTGTATTACAGGACCATGCTGTGTATTATACACTCTGTATTACAGGACCATGCAGTGTATTACACACTCTGTATTACAGGCTCTGTGTATTACAGGACCGTGCAATGTATTACACACTCTGTATTACAGGCTCTGTGTATTACAGGACCATGCTGTGTATTATACACTCTGTATTACAGGACCATGCAGTGTATTACACACTCTGTATTACAGGACCATGCAGTGTATTACACACTCTGTATTACAGGCTCTGTGTATTACAGGACCATGCAATGTATTATACACTCTGTATTACAGGCTCTGTGTATTACAGGACCGTGCAATGTATTACACACTCTATATTACAGGCAGTAGATCCTGGAAGCAGACTGTCCCTGTATAACACAGACCCCCCATCCCCCCCCGTACCCCCAGTATAAGGAGTGAGGTATATGCCCCAGGCTGGCCGTGGCCCCTGTTGTTACCTGTCCTGCCTTCCCCCAGCTCCTGCTGCTGAGCCCCGGATCGGGAACGCACTGATTCACTGGCCAGCCGGCCGGAGGGAGAGCGTCGCAGGACTGACGTCAACAGTATGGGATGATGACGTCAGAGAACGCGACCAGTAGTCACGCGAGTCTGGGGAGAGTTAAAGGGGCAAAAAGTGAGAGCTGGCTGGCATGGTATAACTATAACCCGGCTGGCATGGTATAACTATAACCCGGCTGGCACGGTATATCTATAACCCGGCTGGCACGGTATAACTATAACCCGGCTGGCATGGTATATCTATAACCCGGCTGGCATGGTATATCTAAACTGGCACGGTATAACTATAACCCGGCTGGCACGGTATATCTATAACCCGGCTGGCATGGTATATCGAGCAACCGGCTGGCACGGTATAATCCATAACCCGGCTGGTACGGTATATCTATAACCCGGCTGGTAGCGGCATATCTATGTAACCGGCTGGCACGGTATAACTATAACCCGGCTGGCACGTATATCTATAACCCGGCCGCACGGTATAACTATAACCCGGCTGGCATGGTATATCTATAACCCGGCTGGCACGGTATAACTATAACCCGGCTGGCACGGTATAACTATAACCCGGCTGGCACGGTGTATCTATAACCCGGCTGGCACGGTATATCTATAACCCGGCTGGCACGGTATATCTATAACCCGGCTGGCACGGTATATCTATAACCCGGCTGGCACGGTATATCTATAACCCGGCTGGCATGGTATAACTATAACCCGGCTGGCATGGTATAACTATAACCCGGCTGGCAAGGTATATCTATAACCCGGCTGGCACGGTATATCTATAACCCGGCTGGCATGGTATAACTATAACCCGGCTGGCATGGTATATCTATAACCCGGCTGGCACGGTATATCTATAACCCGGCTGGCATGGTATAACTATAACCCGGCTGGCATGGTATATCTATAACCGGCTGGCATGGTATAACTATAACCCGGCTGGCACGGTATATCTATAACCCGGCTGGCAAGGTATAACTATAACCCGGCTGGCACGGTATATCTATAACCCGGCTGGCACGGTATAACTATAACCCGGCTGGCATGGTATAACTATAACCCGGCTGGCATGGTATATCTATAACCCGGCTGGCACGGTATATCTATAACCCGGCTGGCATGGTATAACTATAACCCGGCTGGCATGGTATATCTATAACCGGCTGGCATGGTATAACTATAACCCGGCTGGCATGGTGTATCTATAACCCGGCTGGCATGGTATAACTATAACTGGCTGGCACGGTATATCTATAACCCGGCTGGCATGGTATAACTATAACCGGCTGGCATGGTATAACTATAACCCGGCTGGCATGGTGTATCTATAACCCGGCTGGCATGGTATAACTATAACTGGCTGGCACGGTATATCTATAACCCGGCTGGCATGGTATAACTATAACCGGCTGGCATGGTATAACTATAACCCGGCTGGCATTGTTTATCTATAACCTGGCTGGCAAGGTATATCTATAACCCGGCTGGCACGGTATATCTATAACCCGGCTGGCACGGTATATCTATAACCGGCTGGCACGGTATATCTATAACCGGCTGGCACGGTATAACTATAACCCGGCTGGCATGGTATAACTATAACCGGCTGGCATGGGTAATCTATAACCGGCTGGCACGGTATAACTATAACCGTCTGGCATGGGTAATCTATAACCGGCTGGCCAGGTATAACTATAACCCGGCTGGCACGGTATAACTATAACCCGGCTGGCACGGTATATCTATAACTGGCTGGCACGGTATATCTATAACCCGGCTGGAAGGTATATCTATAACCCGGCTGACACGGTATATCTATAACCGGCTGGCACGGTATATCTATAACCCGGCTGGCACGGTATATCTATAACCGGCTGGCATGGTTAATCTATAAGTGGCTGGCATGGTATATCTATAAGTGGCTGGCATGGTTAATCTATAACTGGCTGCCATGGTTTATCTATAACTGGCTGGCATGGTTAATCTATAACTGGCTGGTACGGTTTATCTATAACTGGCTGGCATGGTTAATCTATAACTGGCTAGCATGGATTATATTTAACTGGTTGGCATGGTATATCTATAACTGGCTGGCATGGTTTATCTATAACTGGCTGGCATGGTATATCTATAACCGGCTGGCATGCATTATCTATAACCGGCTGGCATGTTTACTCTATAACCGGCTGGCATGGTATATCTATAACCGGCTGGCATGTTTAATCTATAACTGGTTGGCATTGTATATCTATAACTGACTGGCATGGTTAATCTATAACTGGCTGGCATGGTTTATCTATAACTGGCTGGCATGGTTAATCTATAAATGGCTTGCATGGTCTATATCCGGCTGGCATGGTTTATCTATAACTGGCTGGCATGATTAATCTATAACCGGCTGGCATGTTTAATCTATAATTTGCTGGCATGGTTTATGTAGAACTGACTGGCAGGGATTATACAAAACTGACTTGCAGGGATTATATAAAACTAGATACAGGGATTATGTAGATCTGACTGGCATGGACTATGTAGAACTGGCTGGCAGGGACTATATAGAACTGACTGGCAAGGATTATATAAACCTGGCTGGTATGGTTTATCTATAACTGGCTGGCATGGTTAATCTATAACTAACTGGCAGGGATTATACAGAACTGACTAGCAGGGATTATATAAAACTAGATACAGGGATTATGTAGATCTGACTGACATGGACTATGTAGAACTGGCTGGCAAGGACTATATAGAACTGCCTGGCAAGGATTATAGAAAACTGGCTAGCAGGGATTATTTACAACTAGATACAGGGATTATGTAGATCTGACTGGCATGGACTATGTAGAACTGGCTGGCATGGACTATGTAGAACTGGCTGGCATGGACTATACAGAACTGGCTCGCAGGGGTTATATAGAACTGGTGACAGGGTTTATATAGAACTGGCTGGCAGGGTTTATATAGAACTGGCTGGCATGGTTTATATAGAACTGGCTGGCATGATTAATCTATAACCGGCTGGCATGGTTAATCTATAATTTGCTGGCATGGTTTATGTAGAACTGACTGGCAGGGATTATACAAAACTGACTTGCAGGGATTATACAAAACTAGATACAGGGATTATGTAGATCTGACTGGCATGGACTATGTAGAACTGGCTGGCAGGGACTATATAGAACTGGCTGGCAAGGATTATATAAAACTGGCTGGTATGGTTTATCTATAACTGGCTGGCATGGTATATCTATAACCGGCTGGCACGGTTTATCTATAACTGGCTGGCATGCTTAATCTATAACTGACTGGCAGGGATTATACAGAACTGACTAGCAGGGATTATATAAAACTAGATACAGGGATTATGTAGATCTGACTGACATGGACTATGTAGAACTGGCTGGCAAGGACTATATAGAACTGCCTGACAAGGATTATAGAAAACTGGCTAGCAGGGATTATTTACAACTAGATACAGGGATTATGTAGAACTAGCTGGCATGGACTATGTAGAACTGGCTGGCATGGACTATATAGAACTAGCTGGCATGGACTATACAGAACTGGCTCGCAGGGGTTATATAGAACTGGTGACAGGGTTTATATAGAACTGGCTGGCAGGGTTTATATAGAACCGGTGGCAGAGTTTATATATGGCTGGCATGGTTTATATATAACTGGCTGGCCTGGTTTATATAGAACTGGCTGGCATGGTTTATAACCGGCTGGCATGGTTAATCTATAAATGGCTTGCATGGTCTATATCTGGCTGGCATGGTTTATCTATAACTGGCTGGCATGATTAATCTATAACCGGCTGGCATGGTTAATCTATAATTTGCTGGCATGGTTTATGTAGAACTGACTGGCAGGGATTATACAAAACTGACTAGCAGGGATTATATAAAACTAGATACAGGGATTATGTAGATCTGACTGGCATGGACTATGTAGAACTGGCTGGCAGGGACTATATAGAACTGGCTGGCAAGGATTATATAAAACTGGCTGGTATGGTTTATCTATAACTGGCTGGCATGGTTAATCTATAACTGACTGGCAGGGATTATACAGAACTGACTAGTAGGGATTATATAAAACTAGATACAGGGATTATGTAGATCTGACTGACATGGACTATGTAGAACTGGCTGGCAAGGACTATATAGAACGGCCTTGCAAGGATTATAGAAAACTGGCTAGCAGGGATTATTTACAACTAGATACAGGGATTATGTAGATCTGACTGGCATGGACTATGTAGAACTGGCTGGCATGGACTATGTAGAACTGGCTGGCATGGACTATACTGAACTGGCTCGCAGGGGTTATATAGAACTGGTGACAGGGTTTATATAGAACTGGCTGGCAGGGTTTATATAGAACTGGCTGGCATGGTTTATATAGAACCGGTGGCAGAGTTTATATATGGCTGGCATGGTTTATATATAACTGGCCTGGTTTATATAGAACTGGCTGGCAGGGGTTATATAGAACTGGCTGGCATGGTTTATATAGAACTGGCTGGCAGGGGTTATATAGAACCGGTGGCAGGATTTATATAGAACTGGCTGGCATGGTTTATATAGAACTGATTGGCATGGTTTATATAGAACCGGTGGCAGGGTTTATATAGAACTGGATGGCATGGACTATATAGAACTGTCATGATGTATAATCCCTTTCACCAGCATTGTAATTGTATATTTGAGAAGGAAGCTGGGGTGTTTATAAGGCCAAACTCCTAATGAGGGGGATATAGTCTTTACTTACGTGCTTTTGTAATGTTAAAGGGAGGGGAATGGTGGATTAGTACAGAAACAATACTGGTGCAGCCCATTTGCAAGCATTGCCCTCCCCCCACTTTCAATTCTGTAAAATAAAGGAGCAGCACTGATTCTTTACTGAAAGGACAGATGTAAAATTCCTGTCTATGTGCAAACCTGGTCATTTGCTGTCTCTATGTGTAATTAATATATAGCAATTCAGTAAGTTAGCACGGTAACTTGTGAATATTTCGTGAACATTAATTTTCAAGGAAAAACTCTCATATAATAAGTTGGTATTTAATTTAAAGGGACACTATGAGCATGAAAACATCTTTAGCTTAATGAAGCAGTTTTCGTGTATAGAACATGCCCCTGCAGTCTCACTGCACAATTCTCTGCCATTTGTTTTGCTGTAGTATCCCTTTAAATTCCAATAGAATCAAAACAGATTAATATGACAAAGTAAGAACAACTTTTTATTTTATTTTTTGAACACCGACATCTATTGCAATAGAAATAGCTTTAATTGGCTTCCTTGCTGTACTTTTACATAATTCATCATTTGAAATCGCTCTTAGCAAGCATGTTTGCTTATGATTAGAGATGTCGCGAACCGTCCGCGAACTTCTCGCGAACGGTTCGCCGCGGTTACTCCGGTCAGCTGACACATCCCGGCCAATCTCCAGCAGACCCTCCCTCCCAGACCCTCCTACTTCCTGGACAGCATCCATGTTGAAGGCAGCTTCAACATGGATGCTGTCCAGGAAGTAGGAGGGTCTGGGAGGGAGGGTCTGCTGGAGATGGGCCGGGATGTGTCAGCTGACCGGAGTTGTGGCGAATTGTTCGCGAGAAGTTCGCGGACGGTTCGCGACATCTCTACTTATGATGTGTAATAGATGTCAAAGGCATCACAAAGTGCATGTTTGAAAAGATATCTGGCTCTTCTGCATGGACCAATATATAGACTAAGGATAAGTATATCTCCCTACATCCATCAGATAAGTATATCTCCCTACATCCTTTCTCCACGCATCACCATACAAAGATACATGAAAAACACACACAAAAAATCTGCCATTGGTAATACGTTTTCTTTATTTATTTTTTCTAAACCTCTCTTTAAAGGGTCAGTTGAGTAATTCCTTAAAGGAACACTCCAAACACCATAACTGCTACAATGGTGCCATCCCACGGTAAGTAGTCACACCATTTTAATATAGTCAGGCCACTTACCTGGGTCGTTTACAGGGACTGCACTGTATCTGGTCTGCTCGTGGTGGATGCCAGGATTATAATTGATCCAGCATGCAGAATAGTATCACACCTAGGACTAAGGATAACGTTTAACCGGACCTTAGAATGGCCGTACTTAACATACCGGAGAATAGTCAAAATACTTGCTGAGGTCAGGAACACAGAACGTGACACAGCGATAAGGAAAAGCCAAAAGTCAAATACCAGAAAAAACATGATCAGGAACACACTCTTGGATAACCAGCTAGTGGAAACCACGACAGGGCACTGACCAAAAGGTAATTTGGGTTTAAATAACCCTCCTTAGGCTGTAATTGGTTGTCTATGGCCTCTGACCCCAAATCGTGCATGCGACGTCACGCTGGCGCCATCTTTGACGTGGCAAAGGAGAGTTTCCTATTAAAACCGTAACCGCAGCGGTCTACGTCTCTAGGAATGTCATACTCGCTGGGGACCAGAACAGAAGGAGGTCGGGCAGTGGTTTGCCGCGACCAAGGTAAGTATACAATATCTCTTTGTTTATGTGCGGCCACGCCGGCAGAAGAACGGGGAGCCATGACAGTGGAGAAGCCAGATGTCAGTGCAGAGTAAAGAGTGGCCAGCCCGGGACCAGTCTCATTGGCTGAAAGCGTTCAGCTGACACTCTCAGCTTAGCTCCAAAGTAACATCTGGCTTCTCCTGCAGGAGGAGACTGGATGCAGGGGCTGTGGTCATGGATTCCCAGCAGGATCCAGGTAAGTCACCAAACCATACATGGTTTGACTACATACTCTGGGAGCAGGCCAGGGTACTCCTAACACATAATCAATGTTGTGGCCTTCCTTTAAAGGTAAGTTGTCATATATTAATAAAAAGATTTTTACTGCTAATCATAGTATCGCACCAGGGCTGTGGTGCTTGGAATGTTTCTTCAATGCTGAACCCCATAACCCTAAACTTAACATGGGCTGCTGTTTTAATTTAGACATATTTTTTTTTTTGTTCCAGTCTGTCCCTGTTTGTTAAAGATTTGTAACTTAGGTGTGGTGGATTAGTAGTGGTTGTGAAGAAAATGGTGGGGGGTTGTCCGTTTAGTAATGTCTTATATCTCTTGTCAAAGTGATTATATAAGGAAATGGTTTTACCATATGTTACCTTTTGCGGAGAAATAGCTCCAGAGGATGCCAGAAGTTGGAAATATGGAATAAATGAATGACAAAGTTCTGCAGAAGCAAAATTAAAACTGTCAGGCTTTTAATGTATTTTATTATAAATAAAACAATAAAGACTGAGTTATAGTGTCAGTGTTGTCCCACAGTACCGGTGGTAAATGAGCTGAGAATTATAACCAATAGAACTTGTTGAGGAAAAGTCCAAGCTTAGATTATCATGAAGTGTGCCCTGTCGGGGGAGCAATGTAGTATCCATCCACGACTTTGAGCCTGGGATTTTGTTTGGAATACAAAGATACAAGCGCTTTTATCGTTTATCAAGGAAGGCAAGTTTCGATGAACTCACTGGTGTTAGACCCTTACAACCCAAGGACTTATGTCACTACCTGCTGATTAAGGACTTTGCGTGTTGTCTCAAGGTTACAATGACCGTTTTTAGAAAACATTTAAATGCCTTTGCGATCGAGATCCCTACTCTAATAGGGTTATTCACTGAAGAATTCAAAGTGAATTTCAAATTTAATGTCAAAATAACCAAAGTGGAGGTAAACTATGCTTTTGGTTCGACTACTCTGTTCTAAAATCTTAAATTCTCTTTGAATTGACTTTGAATTTTCACTGTGTTGAATAACCCTGTTAGGACCTTACTCGTCTAGCATGTAGTCTCTCCTGAGCTAAAATCTTTCTCTAGGGAAGCATTAACATAGAAACATAGAAACAGAAACATAGAATGTGACGGCAGATAAGAACCATTCGGCCCATCTAGTCTGCCCAATTTTCTAAATACTTTCATTAGTCCCTAGTCTTATCTTATAGTTAGGATAGCCTTATGCCTATCCCACGCATGCTTAAACTCCTTTACTGTGTTAACCTCTACCACTTCAGCTGGAAGGCTATTCCATGCATCCACTACCCTCTCAGTAAAGTAATACTTCCTGATATTATTTTTAAACCTTTGTCCCTCTAATTTAAGACTATGTCCTCTTGTTGTGGTAGTTTTTCTTCTTTTAAATATAGTCTCCTCCTTTACTGTGTTGATTCCCTTTATATATTTAAATGTTTCTATCATATCACCCCTGTCTCGTCTTTCCTCCAAGCTATACATGTTAAGATCCTTTAACCTTTCCTGGTAAGTTTTATCCCGCAATCCATGAACCAGTTTAGTAGCCCTTCTCTGAACCCTCTCTAAGGTATCAATATAGAAACATAGAATACATAAGTGAATGTCTGATTTTGGAGAGACATAGGAAGATGGGGCATAAGGGGGCTGTCTTTAATGTTGATTAGACCCTGGGCAAGCATTAGCTTGGGCCCCCGGCCCCCTCCCTCCCACCTTCTAGCATGAACACACGCCTTCCACCAAAAGACACACATAAAGAAAACACAAAAAAACACACACACAGATCGTAGACTTAGCCACACATATTTTTCACCTAGAGACACACATACAGATGCAAACACTAGCACAAATGCAGATACATACATACACAGGCTCAGACATACACAGGTACATACATCCAAATACACAAACAAACAAAGACAGATCCACCGACACACAGGTGCATACACAGATGCACACTGGTACACATACAGATACACACATACACTTACTGACAAACATGCAGACACACACATATAAACAGACAAACACACCCTGACATATATGCAGATACACACAATGACACACATCCAGATACATACACAGACACACATGCAGTTACACAGACACACACTAAAACATACAGGTGCACAGACAAACATACTGACACACATACAGATACACAGACACAGACAGATACACAGGGGCAGTGACACACATGTAGATACACATACCAAGAGATACACATACAGACACACTGCCACACATGCAGGTACACAGACACACTTAATGACAAACATTCAGATACACAGGATGACACTCATATAGATACAAACATTGACACACACAGATACAGAGGGACACACACGTACAGATAGATACGCATACAGACTGAAACACATACCGATACACATATAGACAGATACACACACAGATACATATACACAGACAGAAACACACACAAATATGAATACAGACAGATACACACACAAATAAACAGACACATGCATATACACATACAGACAGATATACACACACAAACAGACACACAGATACACACACAGACTGATACACATGCAGACAGCTATACACACACAAACAGACACACATGGAAAATATACAATTTCAGTCACCATCCTGTTTCCTACCTGGGGTCCAGTGGCTGTTTGAGGCTGTTGGGAGTTGGGCTCTCTCCCAGCCTGCGCTCCTGCTCTCTTCCTCCCTCCCGCTTGGCACTCTCTGTGTTAGCTATGAGGAAGTGACTGCACTTCCTCCCAGTGCTGACCTCATCACAGGAGGCTGGATCGCGCTGACCGGGCCCCTGCAGACTCATTGCCATTAGGTGGCCCTAAGAGCATGAGCCACCCGATGGGACCCCTCATCATGCGGCCCGCACGCACTAAGACGGGCTTAAGGGTCAGCTGTTTTGGACCCCCTAGGAATGATTGGGCCTGAGGCAGCTGCCCCTTTTGCCCCAAGTTAAAGACGGCCCTGTCTATATGCATCAAAAGATCCTTTAGAGAACAGGTTTCTAAAGCAATATTTCTGTGGTATGCTATGCCTGTCAAGTTATTTAGAATGGGCAATACCCCCTCTGACCTTTGTTGGCCAGGGGCACATTTGGAAAAATGTAGAAATGCTTTTGACAGGCAAGATACCATTATGCAACCTTTTTAACTTAGAACCCTGGTACTTTATATTAGCTATACCTGTAGATAGCCAGAAGGGCTTTAGCAGTTACCTGAGTGGATGATTTGGTTCTGCCTGTTGTGGATGTGATCGTCAAAATAATCAAGAATCAGGGATAGGTGTAGTCCACAACATGTGGAGTGCCGAAGTTTGCCTACTCCTGGCCTAGTTCTTCATGTTAATTTTGCTTCACAGTGGGACAATGCCCCCCTTTCCCATCCATCCATCCATTTTCTTTTATTAAAACTATGCCAAGTTGTTGCTGTAAACTGACTGGAGATTATATACAGTGGAACCTCGGAACTCGAATGGTCCCTTTCTCAAACAATTCGGAAGTCGAACAAAAATTTGGAGTAAAAAATCTCTCGGTAACTGAACAGTCCTCGGTACCCGAACAAATCATGCCACGAACATGTTCAATTCTAAAGCTCTGACTCACTTTAGACACATTTTAAATGCCAGAAGTACAGTTACCTATCCCCATCCTAACAATATCTCTTCTCCATTTCACTAACGCCATCAACTCTCATCATTACAGGTAAAGTGAAGTTACATTTTCATTGTATTTACTGTACATTGTGTTTATTATTATTTTTTTCTATACGATTTCATGCATGCAAGGCATTATTAAACTGTAACATTTCTGTTAAAATGCTGTAATTTCGGGGGTCTGGAACGGATTAATCACATTAACATTAATTCTTATAGGAAATGTTGATATGGTTCTCGAACAGCCGTCTGGAACCGATAACGTTCGAGTTCTGAGGTTCCATTGTTTATATATATTTTGTAGAAGTGATCAAATGCCTCAGATATAAAGTCCAAGCACCTCCTAACCTGAACTATAATCAAAATGTATAAGTAGAAAAAAAAACAATTAAGTTGGATCAGATCGTTTTCTGTGAAGATTTTTTTTTATATGGGGGAATCTGTATTACCATTAATATTATTTTTTATTATTATTATGTTATTATTTATATAGCGCCAACAAATTCCTCAGCGCTTTACGATGGGTGGACGAACAGACATGTAGTTGTAACCAGACAAGTTGGACACACAGGAAAAGAGGAGTTGAGGGTCCTGCTCAATGAGCTTACATGCTGGAGGGAGTGGGGTAAAATGACACAAAAAGGTTATTATTTCTTTCACAGTGTCACTATGCTGCTTACTCTATATATTGCTGCTAATTTTGTGTTTATTCATTGTTACTATGTTGGTTACTGTGAGAGTGCTCATTTGGAACTACATCTCCCATGATGCTCAGCCATGCTAAAGCATCATCAGAAATGCCATCCTGAGCTCCATTGCGAGCCCTTCCAGGCCGAGGACCACTTAGAATGCATGTGTCGTGCCGTGGTCACCATGGTAACACATGATGCTGTAGCCGAGCGTGCTCTCCCCCCCCCCCGACGCAACGCGTGACGTCCCAGCGTTGCCGCCATGTTGGCGGAGGCAGTTATGGCCGCTCCTGTGTTGCTATGGTAGCGAGGCTCCAACAAGCTGCCCGGGCTGGAGTGAAGTGACAGGTCCCCTTCATAGTGTGGCGCTCAGTGGGACAGCGGGAAAAATGCCGGCCGTGGGTGGCGGAGACAAGAGGAAAGTCTTCATCCTCACCACTGCTTACAACTACTTCGGGGTCTCCTCGCCCGAGCTGCTCCCCGAGTGCAGAGAGCTGGACCGATTCCTGGACGATGGCAACGAGTTCATCCTGTCTGCCCGGGGCTCCGGGGCCAGGTTCATCTTCACCAACAAGGTATTCCTGGAGCCCTGTAACCTGCATGGAGAACACAGTCACTGGGAGAGAGGGAGAACACACACACACACACACACAGTCACTGGGAGAGAGGGAGAACACACACACACACAGTCACTGGGAGAGAGGGAGACACACACACACACACACACACACAGTCACTGGGAGAGAGGGAGAACACACACACACACACAGTCACTGGGAGAGAGGGAGAACGCACACACAGTCACTGGCACACACAGTCACTGGGAGAGCACACACAGTCACTGGGAGACACACACACACACACACACACACACACACAGTCACTGGGAGAGAGGGAGAACACACACAGTCACTGGG